CCTGAGCCGGTGAGATTTGAACCGCTGAACTGCAGAACTGCAGTCAGCTGAAGTAGCCTGCAGTGCTGCATTTAACCACTGCACCACCTCGGCTCAATATCTTTGGATGTGATCACCTAAAACCTTCTGATGAGCAAAGTTAATGGGGAAAGCTGTATTTGCTTAATGACCGTGTTACTAACTTAACAACTGCAGTGATTCGCTTAACTGTGGCAAGAAAGGTCATAAAATGGAACAAAACCTCTGCTTTCTTCTGGGTTACTTTTTATAAATATTTACCAGTATAGTCTGTTGGGTAGTTTTTGGATACTTTCTCATCCAAGTACCCAAGTTTGACCATATTAGGGCAAAACATTATCATGCCCTCTTAATGTAATTATTGTGATTCTGCTTCTCCTTTATAGGATATGTACCATCATCATTGGAGGGAGGGAAACCTTCCACCAGGCTCACGTTGCAAAGTTTGTAAAAAAACCTGTGGCTCTTCTGACGTGCTCTCGGGCATGAGATGTGAATGGTGTGGCATCCCGGTAAGTATATTAAGGCTTAGGCAAGTCTCCAAAGAAACAAAGACTAATTTTATTCCAAGGAAAGAAAATTGTTCTTCAAAAGATCTTTATCATAAGTGTGCAAAACAAAACACAATATCGAATGTACATGAAACCACACAACATCTACTCTGGGAAACCATGATGTCCTTTGTGGTGGTCCCTAGATTAATAATAAAAATGGTTATTTGAATTCATAGAAGGTATTGGTACAACGCAAAATTAGAGATTAAATGTTTAGCCTTCAAAGCAGAACATTTATTCCTTCTGAATAGCAGCATTAAATAGAAAACTGGAATTTGGTTTGAGGGAGAGAAATAACCCGTGATTATTTCCACCATTAAAACCTAGCAAGCAGAAGTGAGAATGGTAAAAAAAAATCAAGACCACAAAGATGTGACTGAACCTGATTCAGTCTGCCTGTTTTTCATGGCCTCCATCTTGCCCTTTTGCCCACACTCTGTGGACATCTCTGTAGCTGAGAGAAAAGTATATGAAGAAGTTTTGGCAAGGTTTCAGCATATAGATAGTCCTTGTTTAATAACCACTTATTCAACAACTGTCCAAACTTAGAAAAGCATTGAAGGAGTACTACTTACGACCAGTCCTTAAAGTTCTGGCTTTTCAGTGTCCCATTGTCATGGGTCTCCTATCAGGTCACTCAACAACCAGCCTGGATTTCCATGTTCAGATCATCGTGATTTGCAGCCTTCCCGGGTGACTCCCCGCAAGCAAAATCAGTAGGAAGTTGGAAATCCTCATTTAAAGACCTGCAGTAATTCACCTAACGATGGTAACTGGGGCTTGCCAGAACTGCTGTTGCTTAGCATTCCAGTTGTATGATTTTGCATTGCTTAGCAACAGAAAGTCCAGCCCCAATTATCGTCATTAAGCGAGGGCATAAGGTGTGCCTTATCTCTTTTCCCTTTTAATATTAAAAGCAGGCTATTAAAGTTTCACCTGAATTAAACTAGAAAGTATTTTTTTTCCTACTGTGCTGTCAGAACTTGAAACCACCCAGGCACATAAAATATATTTGGCGCTGTGGCAATCAAGGAAGACATGTGGTTAATCTTTTACCTTAATTAGCAAACAAGATAGAAAACATTCTAACAATCAGCAATCCAAAATTCCTGGATGTTCTGTTGGCTACTTATTAAATCAAATAAGCTTCAGAATTATTAGCACGGTGTGTGTGTGTTACAGATGGTAACATTTCTGTTAGTTACATATACATGGGAAGGAGGGAGCCAGTTTGGTCTAGTGCAAGGGCCGGCAAACTTAAACTCAAAGAGCCATTTCCCACAGAAAAGAAAATAGCAATAGCAATAGCAGTTAGACTTATATACCGCTTCATAGGGCTTTCAGCCCTCTCTAAGCGGTTTACAGAGTCAGCATATTNGCAGTCCAATACAAGCCCCGAAGCTAGGAAAGACGTCCGCTGTTGCGCAGCTGAAATAGGACGTCCGCCGCTCCCCCACTCTCTTCAAAAACCGCCGAGGCCGGGATGGAGTTACAAAACCGTCCGGGGGGCGTCCAGCCGCCACCCCCCACATAAGGAAATACCTCCTCGGCTTGCCCAATCTTTGATCTCCTGGCAGGGGTCCTTTTCGCTGATCCCCGGAGTCTCAGACCGCAGGTTAGTCCGATTTTTTTGCTCTTTGTAAGCCCAGCGTTTAGCTTGGGCAGCCATTCCCCAACTCACGCACAAACAAGCCACCTGTTTCATAGCCTTTAACTTGCATGAACAGTTCCTTCATGGTGTCCTAACCTCTTTCCACCTGTAATTTTGTCATTTTCCCCCACCAGGCACCTCCTCACCAACTTCTCATCGTCCTCCTCCTCCTTCATGACCACCAAACCACTCTTACCCGGTCACATGACCACCAAGCCACTCTCACAAAACAGGCTACACCTACAGAATAAGTTCTAAAAAATTTTGAAACCCACCACTGATCCAAAGTAACTTCTAGAGCCAGTGATATGAGGTGATCTACTGGTTTACTGATGCAATTTTGTCTTCTTAATTCAAACTTGTTTTAGTCCAATCAATCCCTGCAGCCTTCAACACAGGTTCAGGACTTTTATAGCATCTTCAGTTTTTCCTGCAGTGTCAAAGTATGTAGGAATGAAATAATGGCTAATCTTTCCCCAGGGGTTTGTATAGAAATTGAGCAGCATGGGTGGAGCCCAGAGCCCTATGGGATTCTATATTGGTATTCCCCTTGGGTCAAGCTCTTTCCTTTTCATGACCACTGACTGGAATTAACTATTTAACAAGAGCAGAACTGCAATAAAATGCAGATAGTCCTCAACTTTCAATCACAATTGAGCCCAAAATTTCGGTTGTTAAATGAGATATTTGTTAAGTGAGTTTTTCCCTATGTTACAACCTTCCTTGCCACAGTTGTTATGCGAATCACTGCAGTGGATACATTAATAACATGGTTGTTAAGTGAATCTGGCTTCCCCATTGATTTTGTTTGTCGAAGGGTTGTGAAAGGGAATTAAATGACCTTGGGACACATCAACGGTCATAAGTATGAACCAGTTGCCAAGCATCTGAATTTTGATCACGTCATCATGGGGATGCTACAAAGGTATCATAAGTGGAGGAAATGGTTGTAAGTCACTTTTTTCAGTACTGCTTTAACTTTGAATGGTCACTAAATGAATGGTTGTAAGCCGAGGACTACTTGTAGTACTCCTGACTCCCAAACCTTGTAGTCTATCCAGGATTCCACAACTGATGTGAAAAGAGCCAACACATCTGGGAAAAGAAACTCTAACAATCTGGCCCAGAAGGCAGCATTGGCAAACTACTTTTATATTGTCATCAAGAAAAATACATGGGCATAAACTTGATTAATGCTGTGATTTATTACATTTGTTTTTGTAGTGTATATTTTTGATTACTCAATGAGTGTAACACTGAGATGTGTTTGGATACCAGATGTTGAGACACCACCCACCACTACCCCAAGTAGGAAAGACACTCCTCCAGTATTTGGGAAGATCTGGAGATAATAATGTAGCCAGACTACAGACACAGAATAATCTGTTTACTGATGGTACCAATAATGAAAAGAAGTTCTTCATTTTGCAAAGACTTCATTATATCTGTGAAGAAATCTAATAAGTACATCATGTTGCTATAGAGGCATTGAGAAAAATACTGAATTAAAGCAGATGTTTTACAGTGACCTAAATTTGTGATGTTCTGGGAAGAAATTATTGCACATTACAAAAATGCTATTTGCAGAGAAGTGGGTGTGTCATATAATTCCAAAAACCCAGTATACCATTCTGTAAATTTCTATGTGTTTCTCTCTCCACTTTGGAAGATAGATTTTAAAAACATGTGATCGTCAATGGATACTATTTTGAATAGTATTATATTCTGGAGACTTTGCATAGGATAATTCTCCTTCCCAGACACAAAAAAGATCTTTTGATAATTAGAATGTTTTGTATTTGAAATATATGATAGTATAATGAATTAAACCTACTCCTGCCACTATTATGTAGATTAAAAAGTCGTAGTATACTGGACTTGGCCATGAATCAGAGATGAGTACTGCCCCTTAGAATCAGACATGACTGCAAGGGACACCTTTCCCTTTCCTTTTTTATCCTGGATTATATCTGACAAATTGCATTTTAATCTTTTTCTCATGCTAAATTAACACTATGGGCTAATGCAGAGATGGTATTTAGCAGGTTCTGACCTGTTCGGGAGAACCGGTAGTGGAAATTTTGAGTAGTTTGGAGAACCAGTAAATACCACCTCTGACTGGCCCCGCCCACCATCTATTCTCTGCCTCCCAAATCCCAATTGATTGGGAGGAAATGGGGATTTTGCAGTAAACTTCCCCTGGTGTGGGGAGAGAATGGAGATTTTACACTATCCTTCCCCTGGCACACCCACCAAGCCATGCCACACCCACCAAGCCATGCCCACAGAACTGGTAGTAAAAATTTTTGAAACCTATCACTTAGCTAATCCAAACTTTAAAGTTGCTTATATTATATAGATTTGGATATGTGTTTGGATTTTTTAAAACTTCAGATCAATTATTGGATGAAGATTATTCTTTTAAAATCATTTTCTTTGTCAGAGCTAAATATCATTTGTCTGTAGTTGTCATTCCTCATATTGACATTGAAAAGAAATGAATAAATTGTCATGTGGTAGATTTAGTGAATATCTTGATTAAAGCACATGTTGTTATAATGTTCTAAACCTATTGTCTTTTGTCGAGATGTAGTGATATATATTAATTTGATTTTGGGACAACCATATTTTGGGACATTCATATTTTTGGAACAACATATATGGAAATGTATTCTCCAGGTCCTTCTTATTGCTAAGAGAAGAGACTTGTTTTTTTACATTGGAAAGATGCATAGTATTTATGGTCCTAATTACTGAATGGATTGAAGACTTCATAGTAGCTGTAATTTATGAAGGAGTTGCTTACAGACAGATTATATATGGGCAATTTCAATGAAATATGGATACCCTTTATTGAAACCACAGAGAGAAAAATGTTAACTTGGTATGTATAAATATGGAACAAATTAGTATAGTTTAGGGATAAGAAATATGGTATATATCAGACACTGAAACAGAAAGCTACAAGAAATGTTCACATTATCAAATCATTAGTTCCTCATACAAAGTTTTGCTTAAGAAAAATGTAACCATAATAAATGAAAAAAATGCCAAACAGGTAGGTTTTATAAACAACTGAGCTACTCCAAATCGAATAACTAACATAAGATGAATGTTAGAAAGGACAAGAGACTATACACAAAGGAGGTTTGTATTTACTTCATTGGCAACTCCAGGGCCTTTGACTATGTTGAACATGCCAGAATGTGGAACCTATTAAGACTAATGAGTGTACCAGAACACTTGATTATTCTACTGAGGAATTGTTTCAATTAACAAGATGCTACCATAAAAATAGGATTTGAAA